AAATGAAAATGAAACTATGTGCTGAAGATATTATTTGAGTACTAGATCCAGTTGAATCTGGAACTAAATCTTATTGCTTGATTTATTTATTGTCTTATAAAATTATCTGTTAAGCTGGTTCAGATTTAGTTTCTGGTACTGTTTTAAAACATTTCCACTAACAACAAATTAAATGAGAAAATGTATGTTAAGTAACTGGTATATAAAGGTGATGAAGAAATCCTCTTCTTTAAAAAAAAAATCAGAATATAGTGTGCAGTGAGAAGTATAGCATATTTACATTTAGAATAGTTACCAAAAGTAATCTAATCCAGCCCCCTTGTCTTACTGATGTGGAAATTGTAGGGCCCCAGAAAGTTGAAAATAAATTGAAAAAAAAAATTTCAAACTGGAAAATCACAATGACGTGATAATTACTAGTGCAATGTGTTTGATTTTGTATTGTTTACAGTTATGTGCAGCATCTAGTACATCTCTGAGAGCCAGGGAATTCTTCCTAGAAGAGATACTGATTTCACTGAGTTTTGAAGAGCAGTGTCTTTTTGCCCAGTTTAAAGAGGTAGGGTCCTACAGAAAGTGAAGTTATTCTATTCAGAGGGATTGAATGATGTGAAGGTCAAGACGTGAAGGAGAACATATGACTTTCTGAGAACTGCAAAGAGTTAAGTGGTAAGAATTCAGCAGTGAAGGATGAGATTGCAGAAGTAACCCACATTCAAATCATGACTTTCTTTGCTTATTGTAGAATAGAATATAGAATATGCAAAGAGTTGCAGAGATTAAATTTATTTTCTAGAAATATGCTTAGTAGCTGATTTTCTGTTAATTCAGGAGAACAATATGAGTGTCTAAGTTAATACTGATGTGGGGGCATGAGGGTGGAGCAAGAGTGGAAATTGATATAGAATTTAGAAAAAGAGGAATATAGGAGGTAAAGGGGCAACAGATGCTGACTAATTCCATTTGAGAAGTGAAATTGATGAAACTGCAGAATGGACATAGGGTTGCCCAATGGCATAGATGCTGGTTCAGTCCTTTGATTACAGAGAACAGGAAGGAGAAACCTGGTTTGATTTTTATTTATTTATTTATTTATTTTGTGGAATGTTGGCATGTGAGAAAGGTGAGATGCACTTTTGACATTTTGAGTTTGAATTGCTCATGATCAAATTATTGTTTACTATTAAATAATAAGCTCTGAAATGAAGAAGGGAGATGGAGGCTGATGAAACAGAGCTTACAATAACTATCATGTTGAAAGTTGAAAACATACTGGATTGTGATTGCATAGGATAAAAAGCTGCCTCTGCTGATTTACTCCTGGTCTTTCCATAAAATTGTATATACTGAGAAAAATATTATTATAAATACAGAATATAACAATGAGTCTTGAACAAGTCATCAATATAGTTTATTTCTACTTCAGATACTCCTGTTATGTCCTACAATCCTTGTAAAGGACTGAATATCTACAAGAAATTTTCATTGGGATTTCAAATTCTTTAAGCTCCATAACAATATTTTCCTCCTCTTTCTGAAAAAAAAAAATGAGGAAATAATATATCATTATGGAGGAGTCCTAGACTGGAAATCAGTAGAAACAAGTTTCTAAGTCCTGCTCCAAAGGGTTGTGTTCCTCTAAGAATGCCATCTAACATTACTGGAATCAGTTCACCCAGTTACAAAATAAGAAAGTTAAAGCAAACGATATGTAGGTGTTCCCTCTGCTCAGACATTCTAAAAGCCTAAGTATTTATGCATCTGCGAGTAACCTGCCTTTCCTTAATTTCATCCTAGTGCCACTGTTGGCATTAAGAGATGTGATAAACAGTTCTACCAATTTCATAGTTAGTGCTTTTCCAAGAAGAGTAGAGATACATAGAAATTTCCGACAACTCTAGAACAGACAAAAATCAAGCTGGGATGTGTAATGGTTAATCACTCTAATAGATCGTGTTGAGCTACCCTCACTTATTTTCTCAGCCAGGAATTTCAGAGACATGGCCAGGAAGACCGCAGCCCCCACTGATGTCATGCTCTTCTGCTTCCAGTGGCTCCACACAGAATATTTAGTGTTAAAAATCTCAGTGAGCCTGCCTTGATATTTAATGTTATGTAAATTTTTGCTACCATTATTGCAAATTATTCAGAATATCAGAAGTGAGATTTGTGTCTTTGCAGACATATTTTTCAATTTAACCAAAACGTAAATGTTCATGATGTTTTAGTCTGAATAATTACATAATTGTGTATACAGAGCATATTAATTTAAACCAAAGTAATTCAATTATAAAATGTATTTTTATCATGAAAAACTGACAACATAATGGATAGAAATTGTTTAAGGGAATGAACACATTATCAAATAAAAAATGATTGACTTTCAGGAGTCACAGAACCTCAAAAATATAAAACATTATAGAAAAATGTGTCATTCAATTTTGAAAGTAATAGACAAGCAGATTCAGTTTGAATGTATTCTCCTAATGTGTCTAATCGTCTCCTTAATAAAAGAAAATAACATGTTAAACAAAATATCTGTAAACTCTCAAAAGGCAATGGAACTTGAGTAATAGGTATCACAGATCTATACTTATTTCTACTTGTTTCTATGCCTGGACAGAGCTATAGACACAAAGGGGTTGTAGTGAGGCACATGCTATAGTTTTTGTTTCCATTTTTAATAATTTTAAAACATTTAAAATAATACAGAAAAGTATACAACATAGTATACAGGAAAGTATAAAGATGTGTTAAATGAGCTGTAGTATTTAATGAAATCTTACTCTAAAAAATGTTTACAAAGGCTTAGCTCTGAGAGTGATCACATGCGTTGGACATCGCCTAAGGAATATAAGCAAAGAGTCGTGTGAAGGGCCTCCTTCCTAAAGCAAAGGGTTTAGCATGAAAAATAATTTCAGAAGGTTCACTCTTAGGCCCTGGAAGGAAAAGGAAGGAAATGGAAGAACAAATTTTGGAATCTCTTCTAAGAGTAAAGTGAATGTGAGGTACAGCAGTGTGTGCTTGATTTTACTAGAATAAATAGCAAATAACAGAGGACTGTGATCTCCTTTCATCTATATATGCCTTCTCTGTTAATACTTTTTATAGCCTTTTGCTTGTCTTATAAATTGGACTGAAGTGAGGACTGCCATAAAGCCATAGTTCATTCATTCACATTTCCAAGTTCTTTAGTATATTACTTGTGTCTCCTTTGGTATGTAGCATAATCTGGCTTCCATTATCATAATCTTATCTATTTTTTCCTTTCCTTATGGTATAGACTCATTAATTATTCCTTAAATGTATATTAACTATAATTGTTCTCATGTGTGCCCTTTTTTTACTTGAAATTATGACTATTTTTAAAGCAAAAACAAAATAAGATATAAATTACCTTGAGCATGTTTGTAAGGGTAAAACGAGAAGGGTAAGGAATTTGTTTTGTTTCTTTTTTTTTTTTTTTTTGACAGGCAGAGTGGACAGTGAGAGAGAGAGACAGAGAGAAAGGTCTTCCTTTTGCCATTGGTTCACCCTCCAATGGCCGCTGCGGTTGGCGCGCTGCGGCCAGAGCACCGCGCTGATCCGATGGCAGGAGCCAGGTACTTATCCTGGTCTCCCATGGGGTGCAGGGCCCAAGCACTTGGGCCATCCTCCACTGCACTCCCTGGCCACAGCAGAGAGCTGGCCTGGAAGAGGGGCAACCGGGACAGAATCCGGCGCCCCGACTGGAACTAGAACCTGGTGTGCCGGCGCTGCAAGGCGGAGGATTAGCCTAGTGAGCCGTGGCACTGGCAGGAATTTGTTTTGTTTCATAAGTACATTTCATAAAGTATACAAATAATTTTTATTACAAATTATTCAACATGAATAGGTCCATGTTCAGTCCAATTTATAAGACCGGCAAAAGGCTATAATAAGGATTAACAGAGAAGGCATATATAGATGAAATGAGATCACAGTCCTCTGTTATTTCCTATTTATTCTAGTAAAACCAAGCACACTTGCTGCACCACACATTCACTTTACTCTTAGAAGGGATCCTCAAATTTGTTCTTCCATTTCCTTCTTTTTCCTTCCAGTTTTTTAATATCAATCAAGAAAAACATTCTGAAATAATTTTTAGCGACATGTCTTCTGGTAGTAGCATTCATACAACTAAAATATAACAGAATGAAAAACTTTAATATCTATATACAGTAAGTACTCTACTAAAGTCAGTGTGGAATATTTTTTGAAATGAGCAGTAAATTATTCATGCAGTTAATTTATTATATGCCTTCCTAAAATAATTTTATGGATATTCATAGCTCTTTTAAATCTATGACTTCCTATATTTTATTGAAATATCAGTATTATCTCTCCACTTTATGAAGAAAATTGAGGAATAGTCAGAATAAGGAAACATAAAAGGTACTGAGATAGGTGGCAAAGTAAGTTCTGAAATTCTTGTATAACTGTTATTTTCTGATATTATCAGAAATGGGGTTTTCACAATTAATATTTCCATTATAACTACTCATTTAATTAAAATATAGTTTATTTTGAAATGTTTGAATTTTGCCTCTTTGTCATAGTAGGTCAGTATAAATTGCTATGGACTTATTGCTGCACTTCCTTTCAATCAAGAAAATAAAAAGTATTTCTATTTGTCTTGGTCCTTTGAAAAAATACGTAATTGTTTGGCTAATTTACACTGCTTTGTTTCCTGTAAGATTCAGGAAGGTCCTCAAAGTAATAGGAACTGTTATTGCAGCATAAGTCATAATCGAAAACACTGTTGTCTTAGAAACGGACTTTCCTTTCTTCCCAGAGTGGCTCACAGGCTGCCGGCAGCATCCAGCGCCAGCCTGGGGTTGGAGAGCACTTTGTCAGCCACAAGAACAATCCATTCTTGCAGTTTATATCATCATGTTTTGTATTTCAGAGGAAAAATAAATGCAATGTTTTTTTTTTTTTAAACATGAAGGTAAAAGATAACACCGTTAATTTTCTTTTAGCCTTTTAACAGCTTGTTCCTGTCCCTGAGATGCAGCCTCAGACATGGTTGATTCCAAGGGACACACTTGAGAGCATTTCTGAGTACTGCAGTGATATGAGGATATCATGACTGAAGTGCTTCTCCGCAAACCTGTGGCAAAGTTGAATGAAAACGACCAGAGAATCTAAAACCAAATAGAGAAGGAGCATTGAAGTCACAGCGAATTTCAGCTGTGGTATGCTTTTAAAACAAACAAGCAAAGAACCAAAAAACAAACCCCAAAGGTGTCAATATACAAAGCATGTCACAAACCAAAGGAAACACGTTGTTGGTGGTGTGTTGTTTTTATGGAATCTCTACATTGACGTGATCTGTATGGTGTTAAGATACTCATTAGTTGAGCACTTATATTTTGAGCATCTTCCAATTGCTATTTGCTGTTATCTGAAAGTTGTTTTCATGAAACAACAACAACAAAGTGAAACCTCTGCCCCAGGAGATTTCTACTCTGGTGGGAAGGGAGGCAGGATACTCAGTAAAGAAATAAATGGTGTGTCATCTTGTGTTGAGCTACTGCAATGACAAGGCAGCAGTGAAGGAGTTAAACCCAAGAAATAAGATTTGTGCCTGTGTGTGTGTGTGTGTGTGAGAGAGAGAGACAGAGAGAGAGAGAGAGAGAGAGAGAGAGAGAGAGACTTGGTATTGTCACTTTAATTAGCATGGTTAGTGGGCAACCAAGAGGAAGCATCTGCCTCCTGGCTTTGGATCTGCGCAGTTCCAACCCTAGTGGCCATTTGGGAAGTGAACCAATTGAAGGAAGACCTTTCTCTCTGTCTCTGTCTCTCACTGTCTAACTCTGCCTGTCAAAAAAAATAGCATGGTTAGGAAACCTTGATAAAGAAACATTTGAGTAGAGAACTGATGAAGATGAGAAATAATTCTGCAAGGAAGACAAAGTTTTTATCTGTGTGGCAACAAAACTCTGATCATTCTTAAACTGCTAAGAATTCAATGAAAATTCAGATAGTAAAATCACTACAATCATTAAGATTTTTTCCTGTAGAATTATTATAGCATTTATATTGCTACATAGTGGGTCAACTCTAAAGGCAAAGCATTTCAGGAAATACATGCTGAATTGATTAAATATCAAAGTATACTTAGACAATGTCAAAGGCTTATTGCCTAGTGCATAAAAACATGTTAAACTCCATTTTTCCACGCAGAAAGGTACGTGCAGATGCCTTTGTAGCTCTTTTATTTCCTGCATTTTATTTTCTCAGAGGATGGGAAGTACAATATACTTTTAGTTGTACAGTGCTTGAATTTCTTGTGTGCAGTAAATACACGGAAGGACATTAGCAAACCAAAAAAGAGTACCAGGATCTTGCTTTTGAGTCCTAGCTTTGTCTTTAATCATTTCCATGGATATTGGTTTCACTGACCCTTACATTAATCATTTCTTAGTGAAAAAGAGATGCGCAAGACTATTGCCCCTATTTTGTAAATAAAAAAAAAGGATGATAGGAAGGTTAAAAGATTTGCCTCAGGCAATTCTAACTATAAGGCTCTAGTAAAGCCCTTCAAAGAAGCTATTTGTCTTAAATGACAGTTCAGAGTTTTAACCACTCTGCTGCAGAGTAAACTAAGTCTGAAACAGCGTTTGTAATAGAAAGAGAACAGGACTGGGAATCAGGAGATCTCAATTCTACTTGCATTTGCACCACTAACTAGCTTCGTGGTCTTTTGAATTAATATTTTTTTCATTTTAAGTTGGGAGGCCATTGGATACACTTATTTATCAAAAAGCTTTTAATGAGAGCCTTTTCAGACCAGGCCTGGCAATGGGCACCGGTGGACTTACGTATCATGCTCTAAAAGAATGCATATACCTACTAGTGGAGCGAGTTCTCAAATCAACAAAGTAAGGAGAGGGCTGCATGCTCTGTGCTGTGGGAAGACGAAGAGGGTCACCCAGCCCAAACAAAAGTCAGGATGGGAGAGATGGCATCAAAAGATACTTGATTAAAGAACCCTCAGCTGAAGCCAATTCTATTGTCCTGGGGGAACTTGACATAGCCAATAGCAAAGGCCTGGGGGCAAGAAATAAGATTTGAGATGCATGATTATTTCAGTGTGACTGAATGATGGAGGGCATATAGGAGAAGGATGGGAGAGGAAAGCAGATTTTCAAGTACAAATCAAGGAAAGAAGAATGCCTGTTTTCCACACAAAGCAGTTTCAGTTTGAATTTCATTGCAAAGGGACAATTTGGGATATATCACAATATGGAACTTACCTACGGTGTATGAAATTTACAAGAATCTGTGAAGGCAGAGGAAAGGATTTATCTGAAGTTGATGAGTTATGAGGATGTAACAACAGTCAGAAAAATTATGAAGGTCTAAAAATGGGGAATGTAGGACAGACTACAAAAGGTTAATTCAAGCTATTTTCTAAATGAGTGACTGCATGTGTGAAAGGAAAGAATAGAATAGTTCGGGGTGGTATCAACTAAAAAATAAAGATTTTAAGGTCAACTGATAATGAAAAAGAAAGGGCTCTAGAGCCATTTTTTTTTCCATGTCTGTGTCATTGAGCAAGAGTGTGAGGTAAGATCCATTTGACCAAAGCACACTAAAATCCTGAAGATTGTATTTGAAGGTAGAGACTCTGAGATAATCGACCCTCAGTGTTCAATGTCATCACAGACACAGATTCCATTCATCTACAATTATATTAAAGGTAATTCAGAGAAGGGCAGTTTCCAGAGATATATCTAAAGAACAGCATTCTAAAGTACAGAAGAAGCTTCCCTATTCTCAGTATGTGGTCTTGAGAGGCCAGAGTATTTCTGCTCCTTCCTCCCTGCTCCCCACACTCTACCCTTCAGCACTGCACTGGACCTGCTACCCTGGAATCACCTGGATTGGTTGCCCACCATCAATTAACTAATATGAGCCAATAATAATTAAGCAAACTAGGATTTGGTCCTGTAGCTGGGCAGAGAGTCAGTCTCTCCTGAGCCTAGTGTAAGAAGATAAAGGTAAAAGGAAGACAGGTGTGAGAAGGCAGAAAAAGAAGAAGTCAGTGTTCTGTGCACTGAAGCAGGGGAAGCCAGGATTTATGACACAGCTCCTCTCCGAGATAAGAACACCTAGCTTGAAAATATATGAAAATGAGAGGTGAACATGAATGACCAAAATAGATGGGGTAAAATTGTGTGTGTGGCAGGGAAAAGGGGACACAGAAAAAAGAGGGAAGGGAGCGTAAAAGGAAATATTAAACGAAATATCTAGAGAGTATTTCATCTGAATCAAACATGAGAACAGTCCATTCACTTTCCTCCTCCACTGAATATATGTGTGTGTGTGTGTGTGTGTGTGTGTGCCTCTTGTTGTGGCAAGAGGCTTTTCTACAACTTAAATGCTTTGATTTTCCTTCCCTGTCGCTTTCTTCCTTATGTCCTTACAACACAGGGGAAATAGTGTTTCTGGTTTTTAATCCTAAGCAGCATGAAGAGATTTCTAAGTGTGAAGTGGATCCAAGGGAAAAATAACCCTCTTCAATATAGATGTTATTGCCATTAAATTACTACCTTAAGTAGATGTACATATAGGAGACACAGTTAATTTCACAAGAAGATGGGAAGGACCACTAAGGTAATGAACTTTATTGAGAGTGCTTTTAATACCATTATGCACATTTGAGAAGCTTTCTGAGCAGAGAAGACCACTGAGTTGATAAAAGAAGCATTTAGTTATCAAATGCCTTTTGTGCTTCCCTGCTCACTGGTGGATTTGCTTTAGAAATGAATGTTACTCACTCGGTAGATTCAGACATGTTTCTTTGACTGTTCTCAGAAATAAAGTCTGTGTGTGTGTGTGTGTGTGTGTTCAGGGGATGAATAGTGTTGTGAATTAACTAAGGAGTATAATAGGCAACCTCTCCTGGATATGTGAATTGTATAATTTAAGATTGTCCTAGGGCATCTGTAAATTATGCATAGGTTTTGTTTTCTTATTTTACATTTTTGGAGGGGAGAAAGATACTTGATTCTGCAATTTGTACACCTTTAGCATTATCTAAATCTCTTTCACTATTGATTCCAGCACATCCATAAGGAACCATGCCATCTGCTAAATCCTTTTAGAGTGCTCATTCTTCCTCAAACCTCATTGTCTTTTAAATCGGTTTCCCATCACGTATTGTACTACTTCATTAGGCCCTGGCTTTACTTGGCAGAACAATGGTAGAGACCCACTCAGCAATGGTTTAATAATGTACTTATTTATTTTGGAAACTTTATACCTCATTGTTTAAAACTGTATGAAGATAGAACTCAGTGTGTACAATGTGATTGGGTATGAGTTACATTGATACTGATTTTTCACTTTTGTCCAGTGTTTCAGACAAGTGGCACCTTCTGTGCCTATGTACTCTGGTAGAACACAAGCAATATATTTTTCAAAGATAATCTCCAATCCACTGATTGCCACACTGTAAGCCCTGTCTCCTCTTTGGAAGGATATGCAACTAAACAACAGATGGTGAAAAAAAACCTGAAAATCTGGAGAAGAAATTCAATATAATGATTCTATTTGCTTAGGTCACTTTGTTTTATAAATCAACAATCCAGAGCACTATAATTAGTATCAGCGCAGGGCATTGTGTTTAGTCGTTTCCTGTTTAAAAACCTGGCATCATTAATACATTACTTTTAAGTCCTTTTTAATTGCTACACTTGAAGACACGGGGTATATGTTTTAATTGTCTCCTTTTAAACCTAAGCCAAAGTTTAACAAGTTGATATCCAGGCCCTATAGATATTTACATTTCCCAATGATTTCAGCTTTTACTTGTCCTCTAGGTGGCAGAAGAAGTTCGCAGTTTCCGGTCTTGTGCTTTGCAAAGGCTACTGAGTACTCAGCTCATTGCTGCAGCAGCTGAGGCTGATATAAATGTGTAAACAAGCAGAAGCTATATGTGACACACACCACCGTTATTAAAGCATAAGCAACAACTTCAAGCCAAGTTTTTGGCTTCCCATGGCCTGGTGAAGCCAATGCTCAGCCGATTGGTTGAAATAAAGAAAGAAATCCCGAAACAATGGCTGTTTCCTAGGGTTAGGCTTTGTGTGATTTTGTATCATTGTCCAGGACCAGTGTGCTAAAGGAATACAGTTGGCAACTCACACACATCCATTGCTGCTTGGGAGGACTCCTATTGCTCCCACCTGACTGCTGTGGGTGTTGTCGTCCGGATCCTGTAGCAAGAGGAGCAATGGGAGACATAAAATCAGAGTAGCTCGACATGTAAAAGCTGAATCTGTTAGGAAAGCAGGTGGCTTCGAGGATTCAGAACACTAAGAGGTTAGTTATTTGAAGTCGAGTAGGAATGGAATCTGACAGTAAAACATTATATGTGTGCACATAAAAAAATAACAAAGTTGATAGAATAACCATCTAGGAAATACATGAGTTCTTAAAACGTATGGAATATAAACAACCAGTAAAGTTGAGGAGGTGGTGAGGTCACTCAAAGAAAAGTACTTACATTTGTAGGATATGATTTGATAGTTTTTGGATAGAGGGTGTGCATTTAATAAGACCATTGCATTCCAAAATAAATAAAGCATGTACTTAGGAAAGTATAGAACACAAGAAACACAGAAAAGAATGAGTGTGTGTTCCCCTAGACAGGGGGGTGACACGGCAGCTGCATTTTTCTGGAAAGGCAATAATCTAAGGTTGTATTCTAAGTTGATTCACCTACATCTGCCATCCCAGCCGGCACCTGGTGTAGGGTGAATGACACACAATACTCCCCAAATGTCACTGTCCAGCCGTGTCCACCAATTAAAACTAATAAACATTCCTCCCCACGCGGAAGATGTGCCGCCAGCCCCTCGAGCAGCAGGGCAGGCGATGGCAGAGCATAATAGCAGCAGTGGCAGCCGCAGCAGCCAGAGCTCTGGGCAGCAGGTGCACTTGGCTGGGAACGAGGAAGGGCACAGTGTGGTGCTGGCATTGCCTGCTCACATATTATGCAGGCAGAGCTGAGTTGTTTACAAATTGATAGCAGAGGGGATTTGGGTGGATAGAGAGCCACACACACTGCATTCAGTGCTCAGAGAAGCCTGAGCAGGGTTGCCTGCTGGCTGGTTGGGTGCCAGTCACTGTGGAAGAAGAAGTAAAAATAAAATAAAATAAAATAAAATAAAATAAAATAAAATAAAATAAAATAAAAAACAAAATAAAACACTCCTGTTGTCCCCACACACATACCTCACCAGGGAGCACAGGCCCAGTCACAAGCATGCAAATGTACGTGGTGGAGAACCCACGGATCTTTGATGTCGAGGGCCAGAAATTGTTTTTCTCACTGAATCTTTCTCTTGTAGGTCACATGGATATGTATGACCTCGGGCACAGTGATCTGGGCATAGCTTGAAAACTAGGAGAAGGAGAAGATAGAAAATTTTAAAAGGGCCTTAAAGGATAAGACAATAAAACAAGAAGGGAGGGGGCCTTCTAAAAGGTCTCAGCACCTGGGGAGGGGGGCTTTATGCTGGCACACCCTGGAAAGGAGCTGGGGAATCCTGGGAGTGTGAAGAGAGGAAGTGGGAGAGGGAGGGGAAAGGTGTGTGTATATGTGTTTCTGTATGCATGTATTGGGGGTCAAGGCTCAGAAGTGTCAG